ATAGTTAACTTTTACATTTTTTTGTTCATTTTTTTTGTGATTTTGTCGCACTGTGCATGAATAAAAATCTTTAGATGGTCTGTTTATATGCTATACTGTAGCCATTCTTGTATCCTTTTTATGCACTTGCATTAAGACTTCATTTTAAATTATTTTATTTGTTTTTTTATTTGAAATATTAAGTTAAAGAATAGTGGCATATGACATAGACTGCAAATTTTTCTTTGCTTTTGAAAAAATTAAATTTTAATGCGAGAATGAAATTTTATATTTTCCTTGTTTTAATGTTTTATTTTCACCACATCAAATTTTGTATGGTGAACACAGATTTTATATTATGTGTATAATTGCATTAAAAAAAAATTCAACACATTGAGCGGTAGGGGGAACTGGGATTCTTAGTCAAATTTTTGTTATAATAAAAATCAACCTCAAAATTCAAACCTCAATCTTAGATTGTATAATTTAAAAAAACTTTAATTAATTATTTTAATTAACAAAAATAAATATTTAATTTAAAGATAAGTAAGAATTTAAGTTGGAGTTTATAGTTCAAGGACTATAGTTGCCACATAATATAAACTCTCTACATAACGTAAACCTTAATACAAATTATTGACATCATCTAATCGTACACAAATCAACTTTAAGTGTATGACTAAATTAGCAAATAAATTTATGAATATTTTCAATTGTTGTTATGATGACTTTGTTTATTTTCTTTTAAAACAAATTCAAAATAAATTAAATGTCACCAAAGTTCAATAAGTATCTGAAAAAAAAAACAATTCTCTTGAAAAAACAAAATATTTTCCATTGAAATTTATAAAAAAAATTCCATATGAAATATTAAATTTGCCGTAAGGTGTTAATTGGAACCATAAATACGGCAATATACAAAAACATTAAATTTGAAATTTATTACACAAAAGAATTTTTTGTTCCCATGTTCCAATTTCACATTTTCCTCTTTATGTCATCTAAGCAATAAATATTATTAAAATCGATATTCTAAATTAACTTGCTATTTGTATAGGAATGCAAAATTTTAACGAAAAATAATAAAAATTTCTAATACTAACTTTTAACGGTAAAAAAAAAAATAAGTTATTATTTTTTGCATATAAGATTAACAAAAAAATTTAACAGGTGCTAGCGCATATAAGATTAATTAGAATCAATTTGTTTTTAAAAATTTTCAATATTTGAGAATTGAAACATTTACATATGCACCCACACGTTACTCAAATGAAGATCTATGTGAATACTAAATTATTTTTTATGGCAAACACTGTATTAGAAACAAATTTATCTACTTTATACAAAACAAAAAAAAAAACTAAATTTAAAAATGACATTTTAATAACATGAAATTTAGCTCACGTACAATGGAATGTTGATAAACATTTTCATGTTTCACAACATTATTTTCAATAATAATATTTTTGTCATTATCTTTAATAATGTGCATATTCGCACATTACTTGTTTATTCATGATTTATACAATATTTACGTGTAAACGAATTTGAAAAAAACAAAATTAAATTTATTTATTGGATTAAAAATTATTGTTAAATAATAAATTTTTTATTTTTAGATTTTGTTGCATATATTTAAAAAATATGAAATAATTTTGAAACTAAATTTGCATTAATTATTACAAAATTAATACAAAAATTTAAAATAGGAAATATTTAAGCATTATTCTAATATATCAGGCTCTGTTCTGGCGATATTCAATTTTTGTGCGGTGAGGACGATTAAGTGCAGTAAATACATGAGTTGCAAAGGCGATAAGCATGACAAAAATACCGATGGGCAGTATGACAGATTTAACTATACACCGAAAAAAATCCAGAGAGAGAGAGATCTGAAAACTAAGAGAATCTCAATATGCTTGAAATAACGGCAATAATTTTTTCTTCAATAAATTTTACCATTCAATCGGGTGGGTATTACACGATTTGTTCTCAGTGCACTATATGTTAGCCTGAAAGCATACTGGCTGCTACAAAGGAATTCTCTCTAATACCAGCTTATCTCAGAGAGAGGCGTAGCGGACTATCCTTTTCCTAGCTATTCGTAGAACTAATATACGAACAACATTTATTTTATTTTTTTAATTTAGTTTATTATTCTACGGTTTAAAGCAATAATTTTTCAATAATTTTACACATTTCGTATTGTTTCACACTATATAAGCTATAATTTACTTTCCCATTAAAGTACCTCAATTTTTTTTCGGCTAATATTGAATAAACACAAAATAATAAAATTTAATTTTTTTATTTTGTTTATACAAGAATCTTATCGAATTTTGTTTATTTTTTGTAGCCATACAATATATTGTCTACTATCAAAAAAAAAAAACAAGGTAAATAAATTTACTAACAAAATATTTACACTACAAACAAAATATTAACCAACATTCTTATTTTCGTATATATATATATATATATATATGAAAATAATGATATCCTCGCATTATACCTGAAATAATGCTAAGTATATTGAAAAACACAAGTTTAAGTATAAAAGTAAACTCTAAAAATAGTTAAAGAACCCGGTATATCTAGGCACACAATAAGTTGTCGCAATCGCTATTTGAAGACTCAAGGTCAATAGAAATAATCTAAGAAATTAGAAAAATGAGGGGGAAAATATTAGAAAGAAAAACACTTGTTGCTCATATACTGATATTTTTATAATTAGATCATTCGTAAGTTATTTAAGTGTTGTAAATGATCAAGACGTCACCAATATTTAAAAAAGTTTCAGCCTTAAAATGTAAAAATAAATATTTTTCATACATATTGATTGTAATATGTAATTTTTTTTTCAAATGTAATATTTTACACATAGAATTCTATTTATATTTTAATCTAATATTGGAGGAAGAAGAATATATAAAATTTTTTAATTAGAAATTAATAAATTGTTAAATTGAGAAGTTTAATTTAATTGTGTAGGAAGAATCACGCCCTTGTAATTGAATTTGTATTAAAATATTGTTTTTTTTTAAAGTTGCTCGGTAGTACGCACTAGATTGTAGATTGCAAGAACAGGGTGACAATACATATCAGCCCATCATAAGTTGAATCTATTGTGCCTTTCCGAGACCTACCTTTCAAAGAAATCCAAGCGCTGTGTGAGGATCAGTTATCCGCAACTCCTTCTTTTACTTTTATATATTCGAAAAAGTTTTAAATGGAAGCCGGAACGAAAATATTCGTAATACGTTAAAAACTACGAATTCAAAGACTCATTTTTCTTTAATTTAGTCCTATTTTAATCGTGTTGACTGAAACTCAAGTATTTTATAACTAACTCGCATTAACACAATTAGACTGCTACAAAAACAAGGTCAAATCAGATTTTTTTCAAAAAAATAAATTTTATTCAGCAATATTTTTTTGCAAAATTACCACTAAATTCACCTTCAAAACAATCCAGCAGTATAAATCACAAATAATTCAAAAATTATTAGCTCCAGTTATTCTAATATTCATGAACATAAGTTATTAAATTGCACGTGCAGTAGTCAAAACATTTTTCATAAAAAATTCATTTAATATAACCACAAAATCTTTTTCATTTTCTTTTTATTATCCACCACCCAATAATGTTACCAAAATGTTTTCAACACTTTAATAAGGTGTAAAAACTCATTATTTTGAAACTTTTTCCGTCACTTTTCATTTTATGCTTTTATATTTTTCTTCTTCCTCTTTCCTTTTGTATTAACACCTAAAGATTGATTACAGGTATTTAACCTCATTACACATAACCTACAATAATATACCATGTGCCAAAATATCCTTGAGAAGCAAATAATAATAAAAACAAGAAAAAAAAAATTAAAATTCTATAGAACATTTGAACCCCCAATGAATAAAAAAATAAAGGGGAGTCCTTTAAGATTACTGCAAAAAAACAGCAAGAAAAAATAAACAAGAATGAATAGAGAGAAAAAAATAAAGTACTTTTTTTCATTTTCTATGTTGATCCTTATTTACTTATCCTAGAATATCCTTTTTAGTTCTCTTTTATGCTAATTGTCACACATTATTTAATTGTACTATCTTGTTCAAAAAAAAAAATTCTCCGGTTTTATTTTACCTTCCTTTTAATTTTTCTTTTATTTTTTTTTAGCATTTTACATTGTAATGTCCGATTTTTAGAAAAAAAGAGGACAGTAGTAGTTAGTATACAATGTAATATTAATTATGTAAATGTACCTATAGTGAATCTCTAATAATGCCGCAAGGACACACCTTCTCAATTTATATTATGTGGTCATATTATGTAGTTTCCTAAGGAAGAACTCCCACATAATTATATGGTAACCTAATATATAAAATGTTGAAAGATCAGAAAATAATTTATATTGTGGTTAAGTTCATAACTCTATAAATTCAAAGGTGCAAAATAATTCATCATATATAAGTACTGGTAATTTATAATTCAAATTACAAAGAGTAATTCATCACATTTGATTGGTGTCAACTGCGGTAAAACAATTTAAATGAAAAGTCAAACAAATGTCTCACAAATAATTTAATATTAATCATCAAAGGACGATGCAAATTTCTTGTCCCTACTAAAACAGGAATAAACAACAATTATAATAGAACATGAATTTAGCTGGATGAGAATCAAACAATATTCTACATGTTTTGGTTCAAACTTGGGTGGGGGATTAGAGGGCGCACAATAAATTCTTATACGTGGTTGCGGTGCACAGTTGCCTCCGTTGTATATATCTACAATCTACAATATGTTTTTATTCAATCAAACAAAACTGGTTATACGCATCAAACAATGCCTCTTGCAAATCAAACTTTTATTAAATTTTGATGGAATCATACAAGTTCGTTAGCAACATTTGATTTGCGAACCACAGATAAGGTAAGATGAATTTGTATAAATGTTTGCAACTTTCAAAAATCATTTTGTCAAACTTATAAAATGTGGTCAGTAATTCGAGTGTTATTCATACCATTCAATCTTGTTCCATTGAACAATATACTTCATACCATTTCACACTGCTCAATATTGTTCCATTGAATCATCTTTCCCAAAATAAACGCAAATGATTGCTGAAACTTATACTCATGCCATATCATGGAACTACAAGTAAAAAAAATATATAATTTAATATTATTTTACACATACTTATAATAAATGTAACAAAGAATATTCATGGTAAAATTTTTAAAAGGTGGCAAAAGAAACTTTAACTTTGTAAAGATAAAATTATAATATTTACAAAATAATAAATAATCAAAAGTTAAAGTTGAAAGACCTTCAAAGTAAAGGTCATCTACATAATTTTTTGCTTTTTAAATGGAAGAGATTTTTATACGAAGGTATTTTATATAATGTATTTGCAGGAAAATTATAATATTATAGAGATTATCAACCAGTTGGTCAATAACCCCTTCCCACCCCCCCCCCCCCCCTCCCCATAAATATATGAGTTAAATTTTTAAATTCAAAATGAAAAGTTTTATGTACTGTTAAATTTAAATCTGAGCATGTAATACACCAATCACGTTACGTATCTATCCAATCTATGTACAATAAGAGATTTCTAAAATCCTTGATTGAGTTTTAAGGGGAAAAACGAAATTTAGATAAGTATTAACCGTCTATATTTGATTATTTATAAATAATTGTCATAAAAGGTTTATAGTATTGAAATATAAATATGCAGTAGAATCTCCATATAGCGAACATTTCACTAAGCTGGGACAGTTTCTGATTTATTACATAATTTATAATATATTTAGACATAGATTATAATTGTTTGTGATGTAGATTCTTTAATGCAGACATTATGAAATTTCTGTGGTATACCAACGAAATTTGCAGTATTAAGAGTGTTCGACATATAGAGATTCTATTGTATGTAAATTTGAGAATTATGTATAAAACTTATCTTGTTTAAGGTGTTCTTTACATAAAAATCTCACTGCATTCTAATATTGTTATTCTTAATATTCTAATTCAAAATATTTATTTGGTGTCTTGAAAATGTTTATAAATATTAAAATTACTGTACTTAATTATTAAAAATTATAGTAATTATTAAAATTACTATTATTGCAAAAAAAAAACTCTATGTTTATCTATAGACTATGCAAAGCAAAACACTCGATTTGAATAATAATTTTTTTTTCCTTTTTGCGGCGCAACTTTGACGCAAATGCTATGTAAGAACAGAAAAAGAAAAGGATAAAAAGTATTTTTAATAGTTTTAACAAAATTAATGGAAAAAATATGAAAATTTAATTATAAAGGTTTGAAATTTTTTTTTTCTTATCCCTTATTATTCACAATTAATTAATAATCACTTACTTAATAGTAAGAGACAAAAATTTTCTGAATTCTTTATTTCTATTTAAAGAATAGAAAAAATAGCATAGTTTTAGGGGTCTATGATACACGGTTAATTTAAAATCTCTTTTAGTTTGTAACTTAGCTAAGGTATTAAGCACTGTAAAGAAATCTATGAATTAATTATTGCAGTAAAAGTATTTTTTCTTAAATCTGTTAAGTAAGAATACAATAATTTGTAGAATTGTAAGAATACAATTAAGTAAGAATACAATAAGTAGAATTGTAACTACTTGAATACCAAAGTTTTATTATTTATCTGGTTAAAAAGTTTGAAAATTCAAATAAAAGAATCATTAAATAAAATGATTTTCTAAAAATCTATTTTCTAAGCTGAGCTTAATTTAATATTTTTCTAATAAAATAAAAGCAGAAGCATTTTCAATACCATTGTAATAGCCTTATCTCCCTCCCCTTCCCCTCTTTCCGTTATTTTTCTTTATAAATTTTCATAATTTTTATTTTGCAGTCTAATATTGTGTTTTTTTTTTTCTTTCTTCCGCAAATAGAAATTTGACTAATGATTAATGAAACGTTTTCGCTTAATAGCCTTGATAATGAAAAAACAAAATAGAAAAGAATAAAGAATCAAAAGAATATGTTGTCCTTGTTGTCAAATATACAAAAGTTATTTTTATTATAAAATATACAATAAAAGAATGCATTAGCATTTAAACGTTATAACAATATGCGTCATGAAATTAAGGACATTAACAATTAAAGCGTCTCCACTTTTTCTTAAAATAACTTTCTTTTAGCAATATATTCATATTTTATGCAAATTTATTCTGTTATCGCATTTTTTCCAATACCCGATAATAATGGATAAATCAGAGGTACTTAAAACGTACTTTAAACATTTATATATTTCGCATGTCTCGTGGCGCCCCGTCTCCTACAGAATTTCAGTATAAATTACTTATTAACTTAATGTATTTTAAGGTAAAAATTGGTATGTTATACAATTAATCGAAAATTAATACCGCCTTAAGAATTTCAATGTAAAAAATTGATAAATTGACCGGTTAACTACAATTGTTGAGAATGAGGAAGGGGCCTAGGGCTTTAACCGTTTTTGCATTTCTATAAAATTTAAAAATTAGAATAAAAAAATTATAAGAATTATTGTATGTTATCTCTGACTTTCGGAGTAAAATTCGGAGTCAGTGTCGTACTGGTGGTAATGGAAAATGGAGTTGACGCGGAGTTCAAATTAGAAACAGAACTCGAGCAAGTACCAGTCAGAATCAAAATCGAAGTATAAGCCGTAGCCAAAATTGAAGGCAAAATCACAGTCAGGTTCGCAGTCGAACTTGAAATGAGAGTGAGAGCAAAATTCACAATTTGTATTTTCAATTTAAAATAAAGTTGAAATTTTAAACGAGAAAATTTTTTTCTCATATATAATATGATAGTTAAATTTTCGAATATACATGCCTGTAATTTCTTTGATCTATTGTGTATAGACACAATATGTATGTAGTATGTTACATAGAGATCCTAAGCTGATGATCTTATACTAAATATTTAAGTTTAAAATCCGTTCTATATATTTTCGAGAAAATACAATTTGACAATATCAATAAAAATTTTTTTTATTATTGACACTCCCCTTTTCCATAATTATACTTGTTTTTATTTTTTATTTAATAAAATAATAAGATTGTTATAATATTGTAACTTAAGTAAGTATGCAAATATAAGGTGCGGAAATAATTGTATATTACGTACAGAATGCTTCGCATTAAAGTGGATAATGATTATTAGAATATACGGGTAGGTGTCAAAAAATGTTCGGAATGAGTGGTCGGAAAATTATGGATTACATATGAAGGTCTGTATATGTGTAATAAGAAGATGACATTTTGCCGCAAAAATCACCTATTTATCACCTATTGATATCGAGGGCTTGCATAATATTAATTTTTCCAGCTTAATGTTTATTACTTCTTCTACGATATTAGAAAACTAACATATTTTGTATTGCGGCTGTTTATTACTAACGCGTATTTAATTTTTAAAATCTTAGTTTTTCCCTCATTTAGCATCAAGTCGGACTAGTGGAAGCATTTAGTAGAAATCACTCTTTTAGGACTCGTTGAGACAATCTAAATTTAAAAGAAAAACTGAGATAGAAAAATATTTTCTTTTTTAAACCAAAAAACATCCTGTATAAATATACATAAAATATATAAGTTGTTTGAATAAGAAGAATAAGTTATATACCACACCATATGTCGTATAACATTATTATTGCACCATCATATTAGAAATTTCTCTATAATTCCTTCAACAGGATGAGCTTTTTGTTCTATTCTTGTTTTGTTTTGTGCTTTCTTTTATTTTTAATAGAAAATAGAAGTTTTTGTAAATACATACATAATATTTTTTCTATTTTTATTTATTTAGTTCATTGGTGACGATAGAATAATTTCACTCCTATATTTTCATAATACGTGATTCATTCTTATACACTTTTGTATATTTAAATATACATATGTATAGGTATTCATATAATTGGTGAATGTGGTGAATATGGTAGATTAATTAAAACATTCTATATATAAAATGCTGTAAACATATTGAATAAAAAATTTTATTATTTTCAATTTTTTTTTTTCCGAAAAGGAATTAACTAGGATAAAAATTTTATTTTTCTTGTTTTTTTCAATAATTACGTAAATATTTAAGCGATTAAAGAAGCGATTTTGGTAAGCATCGCATAGAATAAAAATTAAATATTTAATGAAAATTAGAAATTAAAGTAGAAACATTAAGTTTTTCCATTAGAAAATTTTTTGCCTAAAAAAAGGCGTGAGCACTTTTATGGTCTGTCAAGATTCTAAGTGAAGGCTTAGTTGGCTATAGTGGGTAGAAGGGTGGGCGTCCCGTATAAGGGCAGGCGAGCGGTTTTTTAAAACCGAAACGTGGAAGTTAGTCTACTTATTTGAGCCTGGTTGTTTATCGCTTGTACATATTTTGTCATGAAAAGTATGACAATCACTGTCGATAATCTCTGTTGCTTTTGTACACTGATTGTAATAGTAATTTCTGTAAACGCAGGAGGATCAATATTTAATTCTCCTATCATAGAATACTGTAAACCAATGGCAATTGAATTTTACTCGGTAGTATAGTGGTTAGTATCCCCGCTTCCTCCTCATATGGTTGAATTAAAATTTTCAAATTTTAATAGAATTGAATGGAAACCGTTTTTCTCCTAAAATAGAAGTTAAATTAGTATAAATTTCTTAACTTTTTATTTAATAAGTACTTTATTTTAATAGAACAAAATTTTCTTGTATTTCCTCCACCGGCTGAGTTGTTTTCCATTAAATTTTGCAAAATTTTTATCTTCAATTTCATAACACTCTAAGTTTAATCGAGCTTCTACAAATGCAATCATATGTAAAAGTAAAGGCTTATGTTTATAATTAATTAATGGATATATTTTAGAAATAAAATACCTCTTTTCATAGGGTAACTATACACTACATTACTAATGATAACTTAAATTGTATTTTTGAGTCTCTTCTTTTAAAGAATTTAAAGAATAGACGACCCCCAATTAATAAACTACATAATCAATAAAATAGAGAAATTTGAACAACAATTTCGAGGTCAAATATAATATTTCTCCTTATATATCGATATCCTATATGGTATAATTATTCAAATTTATTATTCTCTTACATTTTTAAAACTTT